TCTGCCAAATTATTACTTTGAGATTTGTGCTACGATTCGCCAGCCCGAATTCGAAACAATTGACGGGGTGTTGTCAATTGTTTCACCTCTAATAGACCAGTTTAACTTGAGCTTTGCTATAATGGACGAAAATTGCAAAATTACGTATTTAATTACCGATAAAATGTGATTCCGTTTGCTTTGTAATTAGACTTTTTGCTGTTTTTTCCACACCACCGAATGAAACAGTCCCCATTGTTAGAGAGATTATGTTTACTACAATAAATGCAGAATATTTTTGAAATATACGGAGACGTACACACAGGTTAGTTACCGTTGTTGGCGCTGTACTATTTCAGTTTTCTAATTTGTGATTTCAGCGCAAACGAGAGTTGATATTTAAAATTTTTTCTACAACTACTAAATAATTTCTTTACCCTTTTGAGCTTAAACTTACTAAGCAAGGCTGCAGAGCCTACTACTCTCCTGGCTACATTCCATACCACATTACAATCCTACCGAACATTCTGTATGCCATTGATACGATAAGAAGAATGGCTGAGAAAGGGCTTCTCAATCTTTACAACTAGATTCTACGTAAAAAAGTATCATTGCTAAGTTAATATGCATATAATTTCCAAGGAATTGACCTACGCCAAAGGAGAGAAATGCAAACAATGGCGTGTGGTGGCATACAAGCCTCTGCGAATTGTTTAAATAATAACTTCGAACAATGGTGTTTCCTTTGACGTTTTCGCGCTGTAAAACATTACGATTACATTCTTTTATTTCAAAATTGTAAACTGTAGACTATGAACTAGCGATGTTATAATCTGTTGCAATAACACAGTAATTTACAAGTTTACAAATCCCCAAAGTCTACGCATTTCTTGAAGCCACTGATCATTGTAATTCCATTGGGATTCCACTGATATAATATTTGTTATTCTGCTAATATCTAGTTGCAATGGCAGTTGAGTCTTAGTGGAATGCCATTCATTCATTCGATCACTGACGATCCATGTTGCCTTACTAAAAGTACACATTACTATGTACATCTTAATTTTTATTTCGTTTGATCAGCAATTTAGTCTTCAATTTAAATGTATTTTTTTATGTCAAATAATTAGTAGATCGCCATCGACACGCCATTGAAAGGTAGAATACCAAAAAATTACAATGGCAGTTGAATAGTCACTCGATATTATGGGCTAGTCACTAACAAGACGCTCTCTTAACTTTTAGCAGAATATCAAACGAACAAAATCCTATCTTTAACATTGTATCAACACGCAACTGAGATGATTTGAAATTAGAGGAGTTGGGGCCCTGGTATTTTGTAGGCCCTAAATATTATTAAATACAATACTTTAAAATAGCTACTGTCCAAAAATGGTGAAAGAAACAAAAAAGAAACATTTATTTTAATTATGAATCCAAAGATCGAACACACGAAAATTGTGAACAATCAGTAGCTTAAAAAGTGACGTTTTTAAGTGTAAATTTTTACCTATGGAATAAATAGTTATTTCACTTTGCCTTTGACTCAAATCAATAATATATTTCAACCAAAATTCTACAAAGAACCTAGAAATGTGCAAACATGTGTAGGTATGTACATAGGCAGCTGCATAAATATATAATTTTCCAGTTAGTTTTCTCTACCTCTACCTAATTTCAGCGGCAATTTCTATTATTTAAATATTGTACAATAGGTATTATCAAGAAGTATTATTTAATATTCGAGAGTGACCTAAAATATTATGTATATATATATATTAGTATGTTTCTACACCATGATACTCAATTATTTTTTGTGAAATCACTCCACCAGTTTGTTATAATTATTGATACAAAGATTAATATCTTCGATCCGGCCGGATTCGGACCGACGTCTTCTAGCATACCGTGGCAGACGCCATACCAACTAAGCCACGGAACGAACCAGCGGACTTCACGATTTTTCTATGCGCTTGCGTCGTATATTTGGTTTTTCAACGACTTTTTAGCCATAGCGCCATCTATGAGAAATTAATGATATTTCGTCACCCAGTTAGATCTATAGACCTTTACAGCTACAGGCCAGAGATGTCGCTATTCATTGTATTTACATTTTTATTTAATTGATATTCAATCATTTTTATGTGAAATTACTCCACTAGTTTGTTAATTATTAATACAAAGGTCGAACACTCCGAAAAAATTCCTTCGATCCGGCCGGATTCGAACCGACGTCTTCTAGTTGTTGTGTTTCACTGTGTGGTGCGATAGAATGCAATTTTTTTTATCATACTAAAGTGACGCGATGAACAAGTCGTGAGCCTGATAGTAAGCGACACGCCTGTTCATAACAGTTGCAGTGCGACGCACAGCTTTAAATCGCAAAGATCTGAGGGGCACTGCCACTGCGCCCGTCACCTTGAAACATAAGTTGACAAGTCCTATGTGCCTGTAATTTCACCAGCACCCTTACCTTTCTAAACCGGAACACAGTAATGCTCACATTACTGCTTAGCTGCAAATATAGGTAAGGTGGCAATATTTCTCTGGAAGAACCCTTTCACATTATTTGATTTCTAGTTCGGGATTTAATCATGTTTTAAACGTATTTTAAGTACCTCGACGTTTCGGACGTATTGCAACGTCCACGGTCTTTACGTTTTCTAAATCCGCACTTGTCACCCTGAGACTTAAGTTGACAAGCCCCATGTGCCTCTAATTTCACCAGCACCCTTACCCTTCACAACCGGAACACAGTATTAATGGTGACATTTCTGCTTGGCGGCTGAAATAGGTACGGTCGCAGTATTTCCCTTTACAAACTCTATCACAAGGAGCTCTACTGCTAAAACATTTTATTATTTAATATTTAATCACCGATAAAATGTGATTCCGTTTGTTTTGTATTTAAATGTTTTGCTGTTTTTCCCGCACCACCGAATGGAACAGCCCCCTATAGTTAGAGATATTATCTTTATTATAATAAATACAGAATATTTTTGGAATATAGGGAGACGTACACACAGGTCAGTAGTTGGTGGTGTACAACTTCAGTTTTCCAATATTATTAGATATTTAAAAGTGATACAAGGCCCATTTACCTGATGAGTTGCCAGGGATGGATGGCCCTTATTTCGTCTTTATTTCTGGTTATATACTCGATGTATTTTTATGACTCAAGTAATAAAAGCCCTTTTGAGGTATGATCGCATTATCATCATCCACAGCCTGAACCACTGCTGGCATGTGGTTCTATTATTCCAAGGGCACGATATTATCTATTTTCGGCAACTTGTTCTTGTTCCAACAACGTGACACTCATTCGAAATTACTTTTAATTGCAAAACGTATGCATTTCTTCAACCCGTTACCAAATCGACAAGGACGGTGAACAGGACAATGGTATCGTATATTAGAATTCTAATTGGTTACATTATACGTTCATACAATGGGTCAATATCTCGCCTCGAGACGGCTAACTGCAGAAACTTGTCGCAAGTCCACAGACTGCTCGTAAACAGTGGGTTGTGTTGTTTCTAGCATCTGTTTTGTAGCATTTTTAAGATATTGGCAGTAGCAGTGGAGCTCCGTAGGAAAGATTTCGAAACGGACGTACTGCCACCTTATGACCTTACCTATTTCTGCCGCCAAGCAGTATTATGAGCATTACTGCGTTACGTTTTAGAAAGGTAAGGTTGCTAGTGACGCGACAGGCATATGGGACTTGTCAACCTTGTCTCAATGTCTTTGCGATTTAAAGCGTTGAGCGAACAAATAATTTAAAAATCATTACTCTAAATACACATCCGCGTCTGCGTCTTATATTCAGTCAATCGCTTTAGAGCTGAAGGAGGTTTCCTGTCACTAAATAGGGCTTGTGACGTCATAGGAAATACAAAAAGTGACACGCTTGGATTCGCGCTACTTGCGTCGTTATTTAAATACATAAAATTATGCCTGCGTGTCCATTACTGCGTTCCGGTCCTTTTTTTACTTTTATAATGGCAAATGACGGGACGAACAAGTCGTGCGTCTGGTGGTAAGCGACACGACTGCCTCTAACCGTTGCAGTGCTACTCAGATTTAAATCGCAAAGATCTTACAGGCACCGCCACTGCGCCCTGAGACATAAGTTGACAAGTCCCATGTGCGATGTGATTTCGCAGCACCCTTACCCTTCTAAACCGGAACGCAGTAATGCTCGCATTACTGCTTAGCGGCAGAAATAGGTAAAGTTGCTCTTTCACGAAGAACTCTACTAAATTATCGTAACTAGAATGAGGAAAAACTTTTTTAGGACAACGTGCTTTTGGTTTACCTCTTCTTGGGTTGTCTCGTGTCAAATTGTTCTATGAATGAATTATATTTACTTGTAAAAGGTACGTATATGGTTAGTAAAAAGAGACTCGAATTGTTAAAAGTCGACAAAGAGGAATTAATACAATCAGGCGTTCCTTTGCGGGAATACATGTTAATTAAAAATGGGAGTAAACTAAGTTGCTACAGTTGCTAAGTTGTTAAATACAATGTTCTCTTTTTGTCTTTAAATAAAGAGCAACCCGAAAATTTGTATGTGTATGTTACCATAAAAGTATGGTACACTAATTTCAACTTTTGGTTGTCCTGACAAAAAAACCAAAGTTATTGTAGGGAAATAAGGTTTTTTCATGTTCTGATTTCAGAAACAATTACAAAATGAATATGAAAATCCAAGAACAAAAATTATGTTATATAGTGCTATCAACACTTTTTTTATGATTGTACCTTCCCTGGGTTCATGGAGCAGCAACTTAGTTTACTCCCATTTTTAATACATTACAAATACCACTGTGACGATCACAAGAGCAAAGTTTCAGAGGTATATAGCTATTCTTTACTAAATACTTACAGATCTATTAAAAAGAAACCAAAGAAACAGAACCTCTTTGAAAATTTGCAATAGTCAACAAACTGTTACCACCAGGCTACGTTCACAACAAAGCAGGTCGGTTGAGAAAGTTTTGCTCCTTTTTACTTGCCTGCCAGTCGCTACGTATTTTTCAACGTGTATAGACGTGCGCTCCAAACGCAAACCAGTTTAAAAACACGCACGGATATTACCTGGTTCCGGTTTTCATCAACACAAGTGTTTAAATAAATTCTTTTAAAGAAAGTTGATGTGATACTGTGCCGGAATTTCGCGAATGCAGGAAGGATCCTGAAGTGGCTTGAAATTTGCAGAAAATGAACGTAAGTTTATTTCAAGCTTGTTTCCAAGGTCGATATTTCAGTTAAGGGTCGATATTTTAGATTAGTTGATAAAGTAAATAGTTCAGATTTATAAAAATAATAATAGTAACAATAATGTGTCAGATAGTAGCAGTAGAGTTTCTGAAAGTGTAAATACGAGCATTACTGCATTCCGGTTTTGTAGGGTAATGATGCCGGTGAACGGGCACTTGGGACTTGTGAACTTATGTCTCAGGGTGACAGGCGCTACCTGACGTCCACTACCTAAAACGCGGTTAAGTGATAAATGGTCAAATAACCGTTTTAAATAGCAAAAAATAGAGCACAAAATTGTCTTTTAAAAACAGTTAAAATTACTTAACGTGGTTCGACTTATCGGAATTTACCCTAACTGAAATATCATTAAACAATTTCAGTATTCAGAAAACGGGGTTATGGTTTATATGATACCTTAAAAGACAACTACACCAATGGACCCGGTCTCCAACTAGGAAATGGTTATGAGTACCAGAGTAAATCAACTCCTGGGGCCACCAGAAGTCCTAGACCAGGAACAATTTAGAAAAGTTTGATACAAAAGTTCTCATTATATAACATACTTGTTGCTTTTTAATTTCTACGTAATGAAATAGGTTTTCTATTTATAAATAAATATTAGACAACTTCACATACGTTGGTCTGGTCCTAAAGTAAGTAGCTGCACTTGTGTTATGGAAATCGGAAACAACGACGGTACCACAAACACCCAGACCCGAGACTATATAGAGAAGTCAGTTTTCTACATCGACCCGGCCGTAGATCGAACCCGGGACCTCAGAGATGGCGACACCATGAAAACCGGTGTGCAAGACGTTTGACCACCGAGATCGTCGTCGAAATTTATTGTATTAATTAATATTTTGCAGAGAATTCATTCAAGTTTAAAACTTTTGTATTTTTCAAGTTCTTTTCAATTAGTGATAAGGAACCAGTATAATGTAGCTCAGAGTTGTTCTCAGAAACATTTAGATTTCTCGTATCTATGTAGAACATTAAACTACAAGTCATCGTACCGGTTTTGATCCTTGATATTTATGCAGTAAGCAAGTTATTGAAACTGTCACTTTTTAAACTACATGTTCGAAATTTTAATAACTTTTTACAAAAAAAAAAACCTACCTGAAAAG